GGACATTGCTAAAGGAAATGTTTGTCAGACAACTGTGTCTCAAAGACTCTTCAGTACTTGGAGGCACCTTTCCCACCCCTTCCTGTTTGCATTCCTCAGAGTCAGATTTCAGCTAAAGGGATGGAAATTAAATAAAGGTGCATTGGGGAACACATAATTAGTCCTTAAATCATAGGATCTCAAATTCATGAAATTTCATCAAAAGTTTAGTAGAAGTCTTTAAAAAATGCCCCTATGGCAGTCTTTCCAAGTTTTCTCCCAAGAATTTAGCATTAGCATACACAAGTAATTATTACTCGATAATGCTCTTTTGTGCCAAGCTAAGAGTTTTCTTTAACAGTCTTTTCCACCTGTGGAATAAAATATTTCACAGAAACACATTCACCCAGACCTGTTCCCATGTGAAGTCTGCTTCAAGTTTTTTGTCAGAGCATACAACTCTTCCCTTGCAATTGTTGACACTGACAAACACATACGTTGGCAAACACTGTGCCAATCTCTGAGCATCCTCAAGTATCTGTCCCCTTTGGGTAAGAACCAGCCTATGAAGATGAAAAATACCACTTGGAAAAAAACTCACCTTAAGGGAAGTGCAGACTTCAAGCAGTAGTATTTTTAGGGTAAATTAACATTGTGGCATAGCTTAAATATGTGCTAGCTTACCACTAACTCCCCTGCCACACACACACACACACACACACACACACACAAAAGACAGGAGAAAGTAATCAACAATGCTGTACTGAGAATTTGGTTCTGTGGAAAGAAAAAAGTATTTGTGAAAAAGGCCTGAAAATCCTTATGGGCAGTCACAACTAGAAGTTCTCAGACTCTTTCTGCTTGAAAGGTTGTGAGGAACCCACGGGGGCAGGAATTACATTCACCAGTATGCACCAGAACGTACCCCAAGACTCATTCGGAGTCATCCTCAGCAAACTGAGAACTCCACCCCAAACACAGGTACCTTGACAAAAATTGCCCCTAGGAAAGTCCAAACTATAAGCTCTGATGTTTCTGGTGGATGTTAGTTATGTTTCTAAATTCATCACAAATTATTTAATAAAGTATTGTGTAACTAGAATTAATGAAAATTTACATCAAAGCTCTTGCTAAATATAATTCTACAAAAGTTACAACTTTAAGTAATTAATAGTTCATCTTTGCCTTCTTTATCACTCAAGGAAAACTCTAGGTTGCAAATTTCCAAAGGAACATTTTTAGAAATACAAGGAACTGTTACCTATGATTTGAGAACCACCACAATTTTTTTTTTTTTTTTTTTTTTTTTTGAGACAAAGTTTCGCTCTTGTTGCCCAGGCTGGAGTGCAATGTCACAATCTCGGCTCACTGAAACATCCGCTTCCCACGTTCAAGTGATTCTCCTGCCTCGGACTCCCAAGTAGGTGGGATTACAGGCGTCTGCCACCACACCCGGCTAATTTTTTGTATATTTAGTAGAGATGGGGTTTCATCATGTTGACCAGGCTGGTCTTGAACTTCTGACCTCAGGTGATCCACCTGCCTCGGCCTCCCAAAGTGCTGGGATTACAGGAGTGAGCCACCGCGCCCGGCTGAGAACCACCACACTTGTAAGGCAAATGCAATCTGTCATAGGTAGAATGTGACACATAAAGTGACAATGCAATTTCACATGATGTTAAAAAACATTCTGAATCTCTGAACTTGTTGCCATTTATTGAAAGTTAATCGCTTAAAGATTTCCAAATGCCCATTCAGTCAGGCACTGTGTTGAGCGCTCAAGTAAACAAGAATGCACCATTTTTTAAATCTTGGCATCTCCCTAACCTGCCCCAGGAGAAGGCTGAGCCCTCCAAAGAGACACAGCACCACTGCCAGAGGACTAACAGGTAAAAGGAAGAATCCACGGGTTATAAGAGTGTACTACTAGAGAAAATAGGGGAACAAATACTTCCTACCAACAAGAGCTGTTGTAGGTCAAGAGGAAAGGGTATGTGTGTTTCTCCCAAGTCACAGGATCATGAAAGATACTTTAGAGCAGTATTTCCAAGAGTGAGAACCATAGTGTATCAGGAAAGGATTCGTTGCAGGTAAGAGACACCATTCTATTAATAATTACCTTAGGCAGAAAGAAACTTAATTCAGGAAATTGTTGAATACCTAGAATAATAGGATTTAGGATGGGATTTTAGGAATGACTTTCAGCATAACATTGCCCAACTGGCAGGCTAAGGGAACTGTTGCCCTAGCTATAGTCAGTGAGCTGGGAATCTCAAAGCTGCCGTGGCAACTGCTGGACTGAACTGCCTTAAATCTGAGAATTAAGAAGCTGCCTCTGCAAGCATGCCTCTTCAACTGTCCCAGAACTACTCCACAATACTGTGAATCCAGGGACTAGAAGTCATTGCCAGAACTCTTGGGTCCATAGTCATTCTGTATCTGCTATATCTGGATAGCTAAACTGGTGCCTCATACCCCACTACTTCTCCTCCGACTACTTCTGGACTCAAATCTTGCACTAGTGCAACTAATTGATGAAATCTAAATCCATTTGAAATCACAGTCGCAAAGGAATATGGAAAAAGTTTTTAGCTTCCTTAATTTGATATATCTTAATATGCTAATGTGTGATATCAATCTCCAAAAATGAAATATGGGGCATAGCAATTCCTGAACTTAATTGATCATCAGCCTCTGCCTTTAGCAAGCATCTTGCAGTACTGGAACCAGAACTGTGGCTCCCAGTTCCCAGCTCTGTACCCTACAGCTTACCTTTGTAGAAGAAAATACATTGTTTCATATTCAGGCTTTTACCATAGCTATCTTACTAGAATGTAATCATGCTCATAAATGATATTTGATATGGAGTTATATTAAAAGATAATTTTGACTTTTAAATACAGTTATGGTTTAAAAATGACTTTATAAGAATTATGTGTGCATTTGTGAATGAAGGAATAGAAAAATTATCAGAATAAAACACCCTCAGAAATATGTACTGTATTTTTTTTTCTAAACACAAATTAAATAGTATGGACTGATGGTATTAGCATTTAAAATAATAATAACAGGAGGGAAACCACATCATCATTCTTGTTTGAATCCCTTTTCTGTGTGTAGGCCATTTACCCTCAAGGAAATTTTCACAGAATGGCTCTGCACCCCATGGACAACCATTCCTGGACACAGCAAAGAGTCGTTAAGTTGATGGGGAGCCCATCAGCGCAACACCTAATTACTTCTACAGGCACGTTGCTCCAGTGTGAAACAGGACCCCAGGGGACAGTCTCACCTCCTTTGCCTCAAATTCCCTGAAGCATCTCTTTTCAAACATCAGTCAAGTGTGAGCCAAGTCCTTGGCCTTGCCAATGTAAAGGCAATTTCGTCCCTTGGGCAAAAATTGCCAACCTTAATGGGTTCCAGCTGTTGCATGGCTGAGTGCTCTCTCAGTCAGCCTACAGCCTGCCCTGGCATTTCAAAGAGCTCCTGCCAGGCCTGTGTCACCCCCACGCAAAAGGTGAAGCTGGCCTTTGAACCATGTGGCCTTGCCCCGTGGATGTGCATTACCTCCAAGGGAAAGGAAATGGCTTCCTTCCGGCTGCATGGCCTGGCCAGAGGCCTCTGGAGCTCAGATTACCTGGATCACTCGAGAGAGGCCGGCACCAAAATGCAGCACGAATCAGCATCACTAAGGCGCGGGTTTCAGCAACACAAGCATCACTCAGAGGACCCAAGGCAGAGCGAATGTTTTCCTCTGCAAATCTCTGTAGCTCTTGGGGACTTTTACACTCCAACATATTATAAGGTGAAAATCCTGTGGACATTTAGGTTGTTGAGAGAAATGATCGGTATTTGGTATTCACAGTACAGATTTGTGTGGAGTGGGGGCAGACGAGGGAAGGCAAGAATCTAATCCAGTGTGCACATTATGTCTAATTTATCACCAGGATTGCCTTGTTGTGATAACAGGGAGCCTGGCTCTCCCTGCTGGGGGAGCATCAGTTGAACCGGCAGACTTTCCTCCCTTTGTACTAAGCTGACTTTTTAACCCTAGATCTCTAGAGAAATGGCAGCATTTATTAGAAACCAGATATTCAGATATTTTTATGCCCCACACAAAAAATCTTTGCCCCAATTTACTAAATTACTCTAAGTTTCTATATGAATAACATACATAGGTTATATCATAGACATATAACACGTTCATATATTATATAATATATATAACATAGCCATATAATAACATGTATGTTAAGCCATCTAGTCTAGGGGTCTCAAATTGTTAGCCCACAGGCCATGTTCTGCCTGCAGAAGGTTAGATTTGGCCTGCACAGTGCTTTCAAAAAGAAAAAAATGAGCCAACATCTAGAAATCAAGAGATAATACCTTTTTGAAAATGGGGATATGAGAAATGTTTGTTTTAAACCAGAAGATCTCAGAAGACTTCCCAGGAATGAACTGAACTCCAGAATTGCTATTGCCTGTATGTTTAGGGGATGGCAGGGGGAGGGGGAGGAAAAGTCTCCAGGAACCGAGGCCCCAGCATGCCCTGTGACGCTCATCCTGAGGCCGAGCAGCCTTAGGCATTTACCATGGCACTGGAGCTGTAGATTTTTATGATTTTCCATTAAAATAACTATTTTCAGTTTTTCTGGGTGACAAACTCCAAACAAGGCCAGTCTGCTACTTAAATGAGTGAAGCACGTCTGATATAAAAAAGGGAATATGATGTTTTCCACTTTTCCCCATGTCTCTGTCATAGATAATGGAAAATCTGCAAGGACCTGTTCATACCCAAGGCCACGCGTGAGCACCACTGCAAGGAGGTGACTGTGTATCACTGTAAGGCCTGCCACCTGTCCCCACCTGTGCTTCTGCTGGTGCTTCTGCCTCCACCTGGAGGATCTTGGCCATGCGTAGAGAGGTGATGGTTCAGGTTCTAGACCAGCATTTTTCATGGACCACAAAGAGTCATGAAATCAGGCGCGCTCCCCTCCGGCGGTAGGGGACGCGCACCGCGGCACCGCGGCTAGCTTGGCTGCTCGTGGGGCCTCTCCGGCCCTGTGTGTCGGGAAGATGGAGCAAGAAGCCGAGCCCGAGGGGCGACCCCGACCCCTCTGACCAAGATCCTGCTGCTTTCGCAGCCAGGAGCCCCGTCCCTCCCCGGATTAGTGCATTCGAGCGCCCAGTGCCCTGGCCCGGAGAGTGGAATGGTCCCCGAGGCCCAGGACGTCGTGCTTCCGCGGGCCCCGTGAAGGAAACTGGGGAGTCTGGAGGGACCCCCGACTCCAAGCGCGAAAACCCCGGATGGTGAGGAGCAGGCAAATGTGCAATACCAACATGTCTGTACCTACTGATAGTGCTGTAACCACCTCACAGATTCCAGCTTCTGAACAAGAGACCCTGGTTAGACCAAAGCCATTGCTTTTGAAGTTATTAAAGTCTGTTGGTGCACAAAAAGACACTTATACTATGAAAGAGGAAAATATATACCATGATCTACAGAAACTTGGTAGTAGTCAATCAGCAGGAATCATCAGACTCAGGTACATCTGTGAGTGAGAACAGGTGTCACCTTGAAGGTGGGCGTGATCAAAAGGACCTTGTGCAAGAGCTTCAGGAAGAGAAACCTTCGTCTTCACATTTGGTTTTCAGACTATCTACCTCATCTAGAAGGAGAGCGATTAGTGAGACAAAGAAAATTCAGATGAATTATCTGGTGAACGACAAAGAAAAGGCCACAAATCTGATAGTATTTCCCTTTCCTTTGATGAAAGCCTGGCTCTGTGTGTAATAAGGGAGATATGTTGTGAAAGAAGCAGTAGCAGTGAATCTACAGGGACGCCGTCGAATCCGGATCTTGATGCTGGTGTAAGTGAACATTCAGGTGATTGGTTGGATCAGGATTCAGTTTCAGATCAGTTTAGTGTAGAATTTGAAGTTGAATCTGTCGACTCAGAAGATTATAGCCTTAGTGAAGAAGCACAAGAACTCTCAGATGAAGATGATGCGGTATATCGAGTTACTGTGTATCAGGCAGTGGAGAGTGATACAGATTCATTTGAAGAAGATCCTGAAATTTCCTTAGCTGACTATTGGAAATGCACTTCATGCAATGAAATGAATCCCCCTCTTCCATCACATTGCAACAGATGTTGGGCCCTTCGTGAGAACTGGCTTCCTGAAGATAAAGGGAAAGATAAAGGGGAAATCTCTGAGAAAGCCAAACTGGAAAACTCAACACAAGCTGAAGAGGGCTTTGATGTTCCTGATTGTAAAAAAACTATAGTGAATGATTCCAAAGGGTCGTGTGTTGAGGAAAATGATGATAAAATCACACAAGCCTCACAATCACAAGAAAGTGAGGACTATTCTCAGCCATCAACTTCTAGTAGCATTATTTATAGCAGCCAAGAAGACGTGAAAGAGTTTGAAAGGGAAGAAACACAAGACAAAGAAGAAAGTGTGGAATCTAGTTTGCCCCTTAATGCCATTGAGCCTTGTGTGATTTGTCAGGGTCGACCTAAAAATGGTTGCATTGCCCATGGCAAAACAGGACATCTTATGGCCTGCTTTACATGTGCAAAGAAGCTAAAGAAAAGGAATAAGCCCTGCCCAGTGTGTAGACAACCAATTCAAATGATTGTGCTAACTTATTTCCCCTAGTTGACCTGTCTGTAAGAGAATTATATATTTCTAACTAACCCTAAGAATTTAGACAACATGAAAATTATTTACATATATCAAAGTGAGAAAATGCTTCAGTCCACATAGATGTCTTCTCTTTAGTATAATTGACCTACTTTGGTAGCAGAATAGTGAATACTTACTATAATTTGCGCTGAATATGTAGCTCATCCTTTACCCCAACCCCTAATTTTAAATAATTTCTATTCTGTCTTAAATGAGAAGTGTCTTTTTTTAAAAAATATATGTATATGGCATTTACATGTAACATTAATTTTTTTTTGAGATGGATTCTCGCTCTGTCGCCCAGGCTGGAGTGCAGTGGTGCAATCTCGACTCACTGCAAGCTCCGCCTCCCAGGTTCACACCATTCTCCTGCCTCAGCCTCCGGAGTGGCTTGGACTACAGGCACCCGCCACCACGCCCGGCTAATTTTTTGTACTTTTATTGTAAGAGACAGGGTTTCGCTGTGTTAGCCAGGATGGTCTCGATCTCCTGACCTCATGATCTGCCCACCTCAGTCTCCCGAAGTGCTGTGATTACAGGCGTGAGCCACCGTGCCAGGCCTAAATGTAACTTATTTAGTACCTTTGATGTAAAGAGAAAATGTGTGAAAGATTCAGTTTTTTTGTTTTTTTTTTTGAGATGAGTCTGTTACCCAGGCTGGAGTGCAGTGTCATGATCTTGCAGTCTCTGCTTCCCGGGTTCAAGCCGTTCTCCTGCCTCAGCCTCTGGAGCAGCTGGGATTACAGGCATGCACCACCACGGCCAGCTAATTTTTGTATTTTTAGTAGAGACAGGGTTTTGCCATGTTGGCCAGGCTGGTCACGAACTCCTGACCTCATGTGAGCCACCATGTCCAGCCAAGAATTAGTATTTAAATTTTAGACGCTCTTTTTTTTTTTCAGACGGAGTCTTGCTCTGTCACCCATGCTAGAATGCAGTGGAGTGAAATCGGCTCACTGCAACCTCCGCCTTCTGGGTTCAAGCTATTCTGCCTCAGCCTCCCAAGTAACTGGATTACATGTGTCACTATAGCAGCTGATTTGTTTGTATTTTTCGTAAAGATGAGGTTTCACCATGTTGGCCAGGCTGATCTTGAACTCCTAAACTCAAGTGATCTACCCACCTCAGCCTCCCAAAATGCTGGGATTACAGGTGTGAGGCACTGCACCTGGCCCCAGATTTTTGATACTCTTAAACCTTCTGATCCTTAGTTTCTTTCTCCAAAATACTCTTTCTAGGTTTAAAAAAAAAAAAAAAAAAAAAAGCTCTTTTTTTTGGTGCTATGTAAGTGAATATGTAAGTGAAAATGTAAGCGCTATATAAGTGAAAATGTTTTTTAGGTTTTCTTGATTTAATAATAGAGACAGGGTCTCCCTATGTTGCCCAGGCTGATCTCGAACTCCTGGGCTCAAGAGATCCTCCTGTGTCAGCCTCCCAAAGTGCTAAGTAAGATTACAGTCGTGAGCCACCACACCCAGCTGTAAAAATGTACTTATTTTCCAGCCTCTTTTGTATAAACTGTAGTAAGGGATGGGAGTATTGATGTTATCTGAAAATAGCCACCATTTACCCATAAGATAAAACTTGTTAAAGCATCCTGAGTCTAACTTAGTGCATCAGGCCCTTTTTCACACAAAAAAATCCTTTTTGGGATTTAATGGAATCTGTTGTTTCCCCCTAAGTTGAAAAACAACTCTAAGACACTTTAAAGCAACTTCTTGGCCTGGGTTACATAGTTCCCAGACTAGGTTTCAGCCTTCTGCTTAAGGCCAGTTTTAGAAACCCGTGAATTCAGAAAAGTTAATTCAGAAATTTGATAAACAGAATTGTTATTTAAAAACTAACTGGAAAGATTATAAGTTCTTTCCGAATTACTCAGAAATGATGCATCATTTTCCTTCAAGAATGACAGGGTCAGAATGTGGAATCCAAGATACCTCTTGACTTCCTCTCAAGCTCTGTGTTTGCTCAGTGGAGGCCCATCCCAGCTCAGCATGTGTACTGAGAAGTGTTGGTTTCTTTGGGCCCCATCTACCCTGACCACATTATGATGTTCATCTGCAGCAGTTGCAAGGTGTTCAGAGTGTGTAAATACAAATGGCATAAACACTTTAAAAGTGCAGTCCTCAAAAGGTTAGGTGGACTCAAGCATTCTGTAAAGCAACTATTAATAATGAGCTTACAGTGGATAATTCATTTGAATTTGAAAAATACAGAAACGAGCCTGTCATACACCAGCAAGAGCTATGGAATAAAACTACTGATGGAATTAAGACAGTTGAAAAGATCAAATGCCAAGCTAAATGTATAATGAACAAATTGAAGAAAAATAAAGGACTACAGAAAGTTCAGGACATCAAAGAAATTAGACAAAACTCATCTTGACCCCTCTTGCAGGCAAAGGAAAGCAGCTGGAAGAAAAGATGATACAGCAGTTAAAACAGGATGCAGACGTGGCAGAGGTTTCTTAAAAAATCTCATTGTCTATAACCATTTCTGTATTTACATTTGTGAAAATCTCCTTTGGAGACTTAGAACCTCTAAATTATTGACTTATTTTTTATATAAGGTCACTCAAAGGTGATT